AATAGATGACAGCCTAGGAAACCCTGTGGAGCAGTTCTCCTCTGTTACACCAGGGGGCGCTGTGAGTGGATGATCTATAAGAGTATATATGAGTACATAGTGACACAATAGATGACAGCCTAGGAAACCCTGTGGGACAGTTCTACTCTGTTACACCAGGGGGCGCTGTGAGTGGGTGATCTATAAGCATATAGAGGAATCCTGGTGTGGCAATGTAGGATAAGCACTCAACTGCAAGGGTAGTTTTAACCATAAAGTTGGTGTTATAAACTCACCAGCCACTCCTTTGAAATCTTGTACAGGGTTGCTGTGAGTTGGAACTCACTTGATGACACTTAACATGAGTGTATAATGACACAGTAGATGACAGTCAGCTGTGAGCTGACACATCACCAAGGGCAGTGGGGGAAATACTGTGTGCTTTTCAGGTGCAGTGTGGTGACTTTCCTCACCTGTTAGTTTACGGGCCGTCAGGTGCAGGGAAAAAGACAAGAATCATGTGCATTCTCCGGGAGCTGTACGGTGTGGGAGTGGAGAAGTTGAGAATCGAACATCAGACCATCACGGTAAGCACTCCACTTGGAGCCCCCCCCCCCCAGGTGTGGCCTGTCACCGTTGTGTCCCTTTAAAGCAGTTTCCTCACAGTCATTCTCTGTAGGTTTCAGGGTGTAAATATTTACAGGAGCAGGAAGCCTCATCTTTCTCAGCTGGTGGGTTCGAACCGCTGACCTTGTGCTTTAGATCTGACTCGCATAACCCGGAGGCGCCCAGGTGGCCCAGAGCTCTGCCTCCAAGTGACAGGCTGCCATTTGAACCCACCAGCTGCCTCACAGGAGGAAGATGTGCTCGTGTCTTGGAAACTCCAGGGACACTTGTAATGTTTGGGAATCCATAGCATCCAACAACACGAGCAGCAAATACATAGGGTGGCCTGTGCTTCTGATCACCTGGAAACTCAGGTTTCCAGGTTTCGTCTTCCGGAGCCTAATCCCAAACCAGGACTCCATGAATATATATGTATAAACACACACACATGTACATACACATATATGTACACACACACACACATACGTACATACACACATACATGTACATACATACATACATACATACATACGTGCATGGATTCTTGCTGTGGTAGGAATCATGAGTAGGATAGCACTGGACTGCTAACCACAAGGTTGTTGGTTCAACTACCAGCTGTACCTTGGAATCTTTGTACAGAGTCGTGATGAGTTGAAACTTACTCCTCGACACTTTCCATCCACACGCACACACGCACACACGCACACACACACACACACACACACATGTACTACACTCCAGGGGCTTCCAGAAGCTCACGGAAACCTCCGCTTGTCTTTTCAATACTGTTCTTCTACGAGCTTGCTACAGCCCCTCCTATAAGGTGCTTTCTGGGTGTCAGAGAAGGCTGTGGGGGTGGGTGAGGTTTGGAGAAGGCTTGGGGATTTTGTTACAGAAATCAGGGGAAAATCACAACAAAAAGCAGATATGTGCTGTAACCTACTTATATAAAGTTCTATGCTTATCTGCACTCTAGGGATGATGTTGACAGCTAAAGCATTCATGTTGTTATTTCAAGTTTTACTTAGGATTTTAGAAAGAACAAATCCTTTGGACAATAAAATAAAAATGCCATAAAGGAGGGTGAAATAGTAAAGTAAACATTTTTGAAATGTTGTCATTTTCTTTCTATTCAGACCCCATCTAAAAAGAAGATTGAAATCAGCACCATTGCAAGTAACTACCACCTGGAACTTAACCCCAGGCATGTGTCGCCATATTGAAACATGCGTTTCTTGAATAATGGTTTAAGAGTTGTTGTGGTTTTTAAAGAGTAGAGCCAGGTACCGAAGGCTGGCATATAAAACCGGATTGTGGCGTAGCTGCCTTGGCTGAAACAGGAGCCTAGCCTTCCATGCTTTTCTCTCTGTGGCTGCTTTGTAGCTCTGCATGGCTACGTTTTTGACCCTGAGAGCACTGAAGAGTCAGTACCTCTCTGTGAAATTCTAGGAACGCATTCGGAATTGAAGAGTAAAGTGTGATAGAAGTTTGTAATGTCTGAATGGAGGATTTCAGAAATGCGTTGTGTTACCAGGTCTTTCTTTGGCATGCCTCTGCTTCAGTTTCTTGAAGAGGCTGGTGTACAAGTTCAGCAGCCTGTGGAGCCCTGGTGGCACAGTGGTTGAATGAGTGGCTGCTAACCTACAGGTCAGCAAGTTCGGATCCAGCAGAGCCCATGAAGGAAAGTCTTTCCAGGCTGTTCCTGTAAAGAGGACAGCCTTGGGACCCTGTGGGGGTGGTCTGCTCTATCACCTGAGGCCCAAAGGGACCCGCGTGACTAATCTGTGTCTGCACCGTGAGCTAAGGAGAGGCAACATCAGCTGAGGACTGGGGGTGGACGATGAGTTTGTTGGGGGGACAGCTAGGGACGGATCTTGCAGTCCAGTGGAGTATCCGGCAGCACCACACCTGCTATTGCTAGGTAACTCAATACCTGGATGGCAAAGTCGTTTGAACTGCCAGGTCAGTGGTTCAAGCTCACCAGCTGCTCCTCGGAAGCCCTATTATGGGGTCACTATGAGTCGCAGCCGACTCGATGGCCCCCCCCTAACAACAACTACTGAGTAAGTAACTAAGGGGTCCTGGTGTGGTGCTGTGGGCTGATGCGCTGGACTTGCAAGGTCGGTTTGAACTGCAGGATCGGTGGCTAAGCTTACCCGCTGCTCCTCAGAAACCCTCTACAAGGTTGCTATGGATCGTAACCTACTCAATGGCACTTAACAAAATTGTAAGTAATAGAAAACTTAAGTACATATTTAGTGTTTTCAGTGACAGTAACCAAATTGCAATTTAAATATTAGAATGTGTTGGGATCCTGATGTGACTCTGTAGGATAAGCACTGGACTGCTAGCCCCACGGTCGGTGGTTCAGACAGCTCCTTGGAAACCCTATACAGCGTCCCTCTGAGTGGGAACAGACTCTACAGCAATAAACAGCATCGGCAATTGGGTCATGTTAGTTTTTTTTATGACTTCAACGTGTCTCACTTTAAAGTTATGTGACTATAACCCCAAACCACCACTATCATAGACCCCACCACCACCACGCACAGCAGCCCTGTGGGGAAGGTCTACCAGTGCCTTAGGGTTTCCGTGGCTGCCATCTCTTGGTAAAGCAGACAGGCACTTTACCCCCTGTGGCACCAGGGTTCTGTCACATGCTGTTGGCCTGTTTGAGCTCTCAGCCGGTGTGGTCACTTGGATCCCAGCTCACAGTGACCCTGTAGGAGAGAGTGCCCCTGAGGGTGTCTCAGACTGAACCCTACACAAGCAGGCCGCCTCGTCTCCTTCCGCGGAGCCGCCAGGGTTCCCTTAGAGGGTGGTGAAGGGTCCTGCGGCCCTACAAGAGCACGTCCCTCCCGACGGGTGGGCCTGGGGAGCGCTTACCAGGGTGCTTGTGTCGCCGCAGTGATGCTGGAAGCAGTGACCGTGTGGTCGTCCAGGAGGTGCTCAAGACCGTAGCTCAGGCTCAGCAGCTGGAGACCAACGCCCAGAGGGACTTCAAAGGTACCGGGCTCCTCCCACTGGGCGGGGCAGGCGTCCGGGAACTGCTGGCGTCCTGTCCACCCTCATGCAGTTTCTGGAAATGAATCTGGGGAGAGAAATCTGATCCTGCCACCCTCTGGCTCTTTTGGAACCAGAGGAATGATGGGAGAAACAGCTGCCCTTGTGCACACTAATCACAGGTCGGCGGTTCAAACCCATCCTCAGAAACCCTATACAGGGTGGCTCTGAATCGGAGTTTACTAGATGGCACTTCACAACAATAACGTGAGAGCCCTCGTGGCACCGTGGGTAAATCAGCTAACTGCCAACCAAAAGGTTGACGATTCCATGCAGCCAATGTGTGCAGTTGAACTGGGTGGGGGTGTGGCAGGGTCCTGACGTGTGGAGTTGTGTTCCACCTGAGCTTCCGTCCGTCCACAACAACAGCCTGGGAAACCAAATGTGTCAGCTCTGTTCTGCCCTGTGGGGTCGCTGTGAGTCGGAATCAACTTGACGGCATCCCGTGCTTCTGTGGCCTGTGTGATGATAGAAATTTTTAAATGCAAGTAAATAAGTTATTTAACCACCCTCTAAGTTTGATTTCTCATTATTAAGGGAAGAGTCATGTACTGGGGAAAAAAAAAAAGCCTAAACCACCGTTAACAGGTTGATTCCGAGTCACAGTGACTCTACAGGACTGGGTGCAGCTGCCCCCCCCCCCTTTCCCCCCAAGGATCCCAAGGCTGCCCTCTTTAGGTGGCGGCTGCCTGGCTTCCCATGGAGCCCAGCCTCCTTGTTGGGAATGTCACGTGCTCACATGTTCTCTGCCTCCTGGAAACAGTGGTGCTTCTGACGGAGGTGGACAGGCTCACCAAGGATGCCCAGCATGCCTTGCGCCGAACCATGGAGAAGTATATGTCCACCTGCAGACTGATCTTGTGCTGCAACTCGACCTCCAAGGTGATCGCGCCCATCCGCAGCAGGTGCCTGGCGGTGCGTGTGCCCGCGCCCACCATCGAAGAGGTGAGTCGAGTTCCAGGGGCTCCCTTCAGAATCCCTGCGCATGTGCTTTGTAAAGATGGAGCGAGATGTGCCAGGAACTCCCAGACAGCTGCGAGCCTGGATGCCGCAAACCCGCTAGAAGCATGGGCCCCACAGGGGTCTCTGTTGGGCTTTCTAGGTGCTCTTTATGATCTCCACATCGTTCTTCCAGGACTCCTCTGGCTGGGTTTGAACTGGAAACTTAGGTTAGTAGCGAGTACAGTACAGTGTCAGCCAGCAGCTCCCAAGTTTACGTGTTTATTATGTGGACACACACGGACTGGTGTTAAGTGCTGTCGAGTTGGGTCTGACTCAGGATCGTGTACTTGGTTTCTGAGGAGCGACTGGTCGGTTTGAAGTGTTGCCCCTGTGGGTAGCAGCAGTCCACTGAAGTGGTTCTGACTCCTGGTGACCCTGGGGGACAGAGTCGAGCTGCCCCGTCTATAGGAGCAGACTGCAGAGCGTTCAACTGCAGCGCAGTGCTTAATTAGTAAGTTCCTGGGGAACTGGAATGAAAAGTTAATGGAATCTCTCCCCAAACTTTTTGAAACCCCCTCAAAGACACATATATGTACACATCCCCCCCCATAATTATATGTGTACTAGCTGCTGATATGTAATAGTTTTCCTTTTGACTATCATTGCTTTGAACAAGGATATGACCAGCATTACTGTAGCCGCTGCTGACAGTTAGCTAGTGTCTCCTGTTACCAGCTGCTCTAATGTGGCGGGAAGAGGTGCCCCGGGGCCACAAAAAGGGCTTATCAATTGGCGGTGGTTCAAACCTACCCAGCGGCTCCTCAGGAGAAAGACTTGGGAGTCTGCTCCCGTCTAAATGTGACAGCCCAAGAGGCCTGGGGAGCGGGTCCACCCTGGCCTTTGGGGTCCTCAGGAATAGAGGGTGTGGGCTCTTCATCCAGGCGATGTGTGGAAACCTCACATCGGGATCAGGGATGGAGCGGTTAGCCTGAAACAGTGTCAAGTACATTATGTCTACTTAATTACAGCTTTCAGTCAGAAGGCTCATTTATCAGAATCAACAGCTTCCCTGTACTTCCTAGATTTGGGGGAGACCATAACATTTGGTATTGTGTAAAAAAGCATAAAGAAGTCAAGAAACCACACGTATCCTGAAAAGTCTCTCAGAAACGGCTTTGTATTCTGTGGATACAGAGTCGGGGAAGACACCCCCGTTTTGTTCCATCCCCTGCACTAGATCTGCCACGTGCTGTCCGCTGTGTGCAAGAAGGAGGGCCTGACTCTCCCCCCGCAGCTGGCAGTCAGACTGGCCGAGAAGTCCCACCGGAACCTCCGCAAAGCCCTCCTCATGTGTGAAGCCTGCCGAGTGCAGCAGTGAGTCGGGGCAGTGTGAGGGGACAGTGAACCCAGGTACAGGGGACAGTGCAGAGTGGGGGAGCAGTGACCCCGGGTACTGGGGACAGTGCAGAGT